TCTTATTTAACTGTGTCTATGTCTATCTATTGGGGTTTAAGTGGAGTTTACAGTCAAAGAGAAGGGCTTAGATTGTAGATATCTGTGTTCTGCTCAATTTACAGTTTTTAAACAATAAATGGTTAATGAAATAACTGCACAGAGACCAGTATCCCGTAACCAGGTCAACCATTATTTACATGTGAACAGTACATAGGCTCAGATCAGCCAGCTCAAAGCCAATTCTTAGACTGAGGAGACCTTCTGAATCTCCTGTTTATATCTTTCAGCCAGGGCTCCCTGATTAGCACAGGTTAACAACTCCAGTCAAGGATCTCATAGTTAATGAGATCCAACTAGCCCTGGTTCTAATCAGTACATTCCTCCCGACATCCCCATGCCAAACACCCCACCTACATCCCCAGTCCAAGGATGCAAGCCTGTTCCTTCTCTTGTAGCTGTCCCTGGAATGTTTTCACCCCAAGTTGAGCTCCTCTGACTTGGAGTTGGGCATAGTAACACCAGTTACACGTACGTGAGGAATAAGAGAATGACCAGAGAAAGGGTACAGCCAATCAAGGATTGTAAAGGGAATTTGTGCACGGAGCCTGAAGAGATAGGAGAGGTCCTTAATGAATACTTCTCTTTGGTATTCACAACTCGGAGGGACCTAGTTGTAGAGGAGGACAGTGTGAAACAGGCTGGTCAGCAAGAGGAGGTCGATGTTAGTAAGGAAGATGTGCTAGGAATTTTGAGGAAGTTGAAGATAGATAAGTCCCCTGGGCCTGATGGGATTTGTCCAAGGATTCTGTGGGAAGGGAGGGAAGGAAGAGATCACAGGGCCTTTGGCGATGATCTTTTCGTCCTCACTGTCCACGGGTATAGTGCCAGAAGATTGGAGAGAGGCAAACGTCATTCCCTTGTTCAAAAAAGGGAATAGGGATAACCCCGGAAATTACAGGCCAGTTAGTCTTACATCAGTGGTGGGCAAATTATCGGAAAGGGCTCTGAGAGATAGGATTTATGATCACTTGGAAAGGCACAGTTTGATTCGTGATAGTCAGCATGGATTTGTGAGGGGTAGATCATGCCTCACAAACCTTATTGGATTCTTTGAAAAGGTGACCAAACACGTGGATGAAGGTAGAGCAGTGGATGTGGTATACATGGATTTAAGTAAGGCGTTTGATAAGGTTCCCCATGGTAGGCTCATGCAGAAGGTAAGGAGGCATGGCAGGGGGGAAATGTGGCAGATTGGATTCAGAATTGGCTGACCCTTAGAAGACCAAGGGTGATAGTGGACGGAAAATATTCAACATGGTGCTCAGTTACGGGTGGTGTACCACAAGGATCTGTTCTGGGTCCTCTTCTATTTGTGACTTTTGTAAATGATTTGGATGAAGGAGTGGAAGGGTGGATTAGCAAGTTTGCCGACGATACGAAGGTGGGTTGCGTTGTGGACAGTGTGGAGGGCTGTTTTTGGTTACAAAGTGACATTGATAGGATGCAGAGCTGGGCTGAGAAGTGGCAGATGGAGTTTAACCCTGAAAAGTGTGAGGTGATTCATTTTGGAAGGACAAACTTGAAAGCAGAATACAGGGTTAACGGAAAGATTCTTGGCAGTGTGGAGGAGCAGAGGATCTTGGGGTTCATGTTCACAGTTCCCTGAAAGCTGCCACCCAGGTGGATAGAGTTGTTAAGAAGGCATATGGTGTGTTAGCTTTCATTAATAGAGGGATTGAGTTCAAGAGCCGTAAAGTTATGCTCCAGCTATACAAACGCCTGGTTCGGCCACATCTGGAGTATTATGTCCAGTTCTGGTCGCCTCATTACAGGAAATATGTGGAGGCATTGGAAAAGGTGCAGAGGAGATTTACCAGGATGTTGCTTGGAATGGAGGGAAGGTCTTACGAGGAAAGGTTGAGAGAGCTAAGGCTTTTCTCTTTAGAACGATGAATGATGAGAGGTGACTTGATAGAGGTGTACAAAATGATCAGAGGTATAGATAGAGTAGACAGCCAGAGACTTTTTCCTCAGGTGAAGGTAGCTATTACGAGGGGGCATAGTTTTCAAGTGAGTGGAGGTAGATATAGGGGAGACGTCAGAGGTAGGTTCTTTACTCAGAGTGGTAGGGGCGTGGAATGCATTGCCGGAGAGGGTAGTGGAGTCGGCCTCTTTAGGGGCATTTAAGCGCCTATTAGATAGGCATATGGATGATAGTATAAGGTAGGGGTGGAGGTTAGATAGACCTTAGGATTAGGGTAAAAGTTCGGCACAACATCATGGGCTGAAGGACCTGTACTGTGCTGTACTGTTCTATGTTCTATGAACCAGACCGTAGCACATCTTTTGCACCCAGAGCATCTGGGGAGGGTTTCCTCCTCTTCCTCTCGTGCTAATGGTGTTGAGGCTGCACCCGTCTTGATTCTACAGTTTCCTCGACTCTACACAGAGGTGGAGAACCCACAGTTTCTGACAGCCTTTCTGGCTGCTCTGAGGGGCCAGGTTTATTTTGCTCCTGCGTCGTTTGCATGGTAGCAGCTTTCGGGTGATCCATGTTTATTTAGGACTGCCTCAGTGTACCTTGTGTCGACCTCGCCTCGTACCCATGCTGGGCAGCACAGTGGCACAGTGGTTAGCTCTGCTGCCTCACAGCGCCAGGGACCCGGGTTTGATTCCAGCCTCGGGCGACTGTCTGTGTGGAGTTTGTACATTCTCCCCGTGTCTGCGTGGGTTTCCTCCGGGTGCTCCAGTTTTCTCCCACAGTCCAAACAGGTGCAGGTTAGGTGGATTGGCCATGCTAAATTGCCCGTAGTGTTCAGGGATGTGTAGATTAGGTGGGTTATAGGGGGATGGGTCTGGGTGGGATACACTGAGGTTCGGTGTGGACCTGTTGGGCCGAAGGGCCTGTTTCCACACTGTAGGGATTCTATGATATGATTCTATGATATTTCCACGGTCCCTGCACCAAACTTTGTCCCCTGAAATAAACTTCCACTCTCGCTGAGAGGAGGCATGTGGCCCGCACTGGCGTTCCTGCTGCCGTTTCATCCTCCTCCCCAGGTTGGGGAATATCAGGTTTAACCTAGTGTGGAGTCTTCTCCCCATCAGCGACTCTGCTACTGCTATCCCTGAGGGCTGGTCCTATAATCGAACAGGAACCAGGACAGTTTGGTATTGAGTGAAGACGTAGGCTACTTCTTTAAGCCTGCCTTCAACATTCGGACGGCCCCTTCCAGACCATTGGCCAATGGATGGTTGTGCAGCTGTCCTTATTGCCGAATACCATTCAACTTTAGGAAATACTTGGAATTCCCTGCTGGTACATAACGTCCTATTGTCCATGACCAATACTTCTGGGAGTCCATGTATTATAAATGATACTCGCAGCTTTTCAACCGTCATCCTTGAGCTTGCTGAATGAACTCTTATGCATGTCTAACCAATTTGAATGGGCATCCATAATGACCAGGAACATTGAGCCCATGAAAGGGCCAGTATAGTCGTAACCGAGACCAGGACTTACCCGGCCATTCCCACGAATATAGGGGAGCTGTCGGCGGTAGTTTCTATCCTTGTTGGCACACTGGGCACTGCCCCACTAATGCAGCGATGTCTGCATTCAATGCTGGCCACCAGACATAACTTCTTGTCAACATCTTCATTTTGGAAACTCTTGGATAATCCTGGTGGAGTTCAGCCAGCATCTAGTGGTGACCTTTACTCGAGACAATCACTCTTGCTCCCCATGGTAATATGGCATCCTCAACGGTAACCTGGTCTCGCTGGGTCCAGAAAGGTTTCAATCCTCGTTGTGATGGCCCTTCTATTTCCCCATTATTGCCAGTTGTTTTAGTTTTGCCAGGACAGGATCTTTTTGAGTCCACAGTCAGCTTTTGTCAGCATTGACTGGAAAGGTGTCCAGAAAGTTTAAAACCAGAACAGACTCTTCTACATGAGGCACCACTGGTGGAGTGTCTACCAGTGGGAGGCAGCTCAAGGCATCTGCATTTGTCACTTGGCCTCCTGGAGACCGTGTTTTAACATGTAATTGTGCAAACTCCACACAGTCACCCCAGGCTGGAATTGAACCCAGGTCCTGGCGCTGCGGTGCTAACCACTGAGCCACCATGCCGCCCCTGCTCTCATCAAGAAATGCAAATCACCTTTGTCCTTCCTAAATCCATGTCAGCTTTTCTTCATTAATCTAAATCCAAGTGAGCAATCTGCAACCTAATGGAATTTTGCTCTAATCTATATTAGTTATTTTACTTCTGATGAAAATACTTACAACACTTATGCATCACAGCTTGGTTTGGCAACTGCTCTGTCCACGACTGCAAGAAATTACAGTGTGTTGTGAATGCAGCCCAGTCCATCATGAAAACCAGCCTTCCTTCCATTGACTCAGTCTACACTTCCCGCTGCCTCAGGAAAGCTACCAGCATAATCAAAGACTCCTCCTACCCCAGTTATACTCTCTTCCATCGAGCAGAAGATACAAAAGTTTGAAAACACGTACCAACAGATTCAAGAATAGCTTCTTCCCTGCTCTTATCAGACTTATGAGCGGACATCTCATATATTAGAGTTTATCTTTCTCTGCAACTTCTCTATAGCTGTAACACAATATTCTGCATTCTGTTCTATTACCCTGTTGGATTTAAGTAAGGTATGATTGTCTGGCTAGCATGATAAAACAACACCTTTCACTATATGACGGTACATGTGACAATCATAAATCAAATCAAAGATATAACACGAGAGGCCGGATAGAAAAGAATTCAAATAATCAAGTCGAGAGGCAACAAAGGTATGAATGAAAGCTTCAGCAACAGATGAATTAATATAGAAGCAGAAACATGAGACATCACACAGGTAGAAGTAGGTTTTTGTAAGGGAATAAATTTGGGTCAGAAACAGTTCTCAGCTAATTCTGAAGAAATATTTTTATAGCATTCCAAGGTGTACTATCAAAAATTAACAAAACTTAGCATATGAATTAACATGTTGATACTTACATGGTTTGTTTCTGAAGCAAGTCCATGCAGACAATCAGGGCATCCAGAACTTGGGGCCAGTCAAGGTGCAAACATATCAGGTATTAAATTTTGATGTAAGTTAATTCAACCGTTATGTCAAATAATTTGTTCAGTAATTGTAAACTATGTAGAATTATTCAGACCCAACAATAACATATACTGGAGAGTCTAAAGTGGCTTTCACACTTCTATCCACTTCAAGCAAAGAATAAGTTTTTTTCTGTTATCTCTCTGTAGCTTGACTAAGCTGTACGTGACAAACAAAAAATGCTGGAAATCAACAAAATGTTAACACCTTATACCTGAATTATAAATTTATCTGACTCTCCAAAGCTCACTGCTGAAAAATTGAACATTCCCAGCATTTCATTTCTATTTGTTAATTGCGGTACATTAGAAAAATTCTTCAATTTGTTTTTCTCTTCGGAGGCAGACTGAATATACAGTCATTGAAATGCAGTTCCTGAACTTCAGATAGATGTGATTTTGTTCATTGCTCTCTTGAGAGTAGAATTGCCTGGTATAAGGATTGGACAACATCATTCCACCTGAGAATTTGTTCTCTGTCCTGGGCGAGACAGGTATCATTAAGGGGTTGTACAATCTCCTTCCTCAGGTGAAGAGACGAAACCATATAAACATCAAAGGAAACTTCAGATTTACATATACTTAGTTGTTTGGTAATACAGAAAATAGGTATTGCTGGAAAAAGATAGATTTTGTTTAATTCATTTGTCTTGCACTCATCAAGATAGCTCACAAGAAATACCAAAGTAAGAGGAAAACATCACTCTTAATGTATGAGAGGACAGTGATGATTGATTGGCATGTTGAATTGATTGGCATGTTGAATGTACCATTTAGTAATGACTGAGAGTTAACTAATAAGCTTTGTTTGCATTTTTTAAAGACAGGTTCACTCCAACAAGACAACACCCAAGAAATGAAACAGAGGATGGCTGATACCTTTTCATTCTTTTAAATCATGTGATATGGGTGCTATTGGCTGGGCCAGCAATTATTCCCAATGCAACTGCCAAAAGGAAAGTAATGGTGAACTACCTTTCTGATCTGCTGCAGTCCATTTGGACTAGGGGATACATATGGTGGAAGGAGGTTCCTGGATTACTGCGAACAACAATACAGTTCCATGTCAGGGTAGCATGTGGTTTCATGGAGAACTTGCAGGAGGTGGTATTCCCATGCATCTGTGGCCCTTGTCCTTCCAGATTGTAGAGGTACAGGTTTGGAACATTAGAAACCTAAGAAATATGAGCACAAGCCATTCAGCCCCTCAAGACTGACCCACCATTAAACCAGACCATGGATGATTAACACCGAGTCTCAAACTCCTCTTTCGTACCTGCTCATTATAGCACTTAACTCTTCCATATTTCAAATATCTATCACCTCTGAGCAATTCACTACTATCTGCGAGAAGAAATTCCCTGTCATTGAAGTTTTAAATGAGTGTTCCCTTATTCTGACCCTATTGTTTTTTTGAAATTCATTCATGAGATGTGGGATTGCTGGCTGGGTCAGCATTTATTACCCATCCTTAGTTTCTGTTGAGGTGGTGGTAGTGAGGTTTCTTCTTGAACTGCTGCAGCCCATTTGATGTAGGCAGACCCACAATGCCATAAGGGAGGAAGTTCCAGGATACTGACCCAGTGATACCGAAGGAACAGCATTTACTTCGAAGTCAGGATGGTGAGTGGCTTGAAAGGAACTTGAGGGTGGAGGCATTCCGATATAAATACTTTTCTGTCCTTCCAGATGGAAGCGGTTGGAAAGTGTCATCTAAGGTGCCTTGATGAATTTCTGCAATGTATCTCCAGAGAGTTCTACACTCATGGAAGCATCTCAATGCATATCCTGTCAAACCCCTTAGAACCTTGTATGTTTCAATAAGGTCACCCCTCATCCTTCCATACTCTAATTAATAAAAGCTTAATCTTTTTAGCTGTTCTTGAATCACCAAACCTTTCATCCCAGGAAACAGCCTACTGAATCTCTTTTTAACTACCTATAATGCCAGTGCATCATTTCTTAAAAACAGGGACCAAAATTGTACACAGTACTCCGGGTGTGTAAATTCCAATGGCCCAGTAATAAAGGCCAAAATTCCATTCTTAATTACTTGATGAATCTGCATGCTAACATTATGTGTTTCATGCACAAGAATACCCAGATCCCTTCTTGCAGAATTTTTGGAGCCTTTCTCCATTTAGGTAACAGCCTGCATTGGAATTTTTATTGCCAATGTGCATGATCGCCTACATTTCCACATTAAACTCCATCTGTCAAGATTTTGCTCATTCACTCACCCACCTATATATCCTTGGAAATTCCTTGTGTCCTCATCGCGACATGTCCTCTTTTTGTATCATTAGCAAATTTGGATATATTACACTCTGACCCGTCCTCCAAGTCAATAATATAGACAATAAATAATTAAAGTCGTAGGATTGATCCTGGTGGCACTCCATTCGTTATTTCTTTCCAGCCTGGAGAAGATTCATCACAATCTATCTTCTGCCTGTTAACCAATCCTCAATCAATTTTAATACATTATCCCCAATACCATGAGCTTCTAATCAGGCGGCAAAGTGGTTAGCACTGCTGCCTCACAGTGCCAGGGACCGGGTTCGATTCCACCCTCGGGCGACTGTCTGTGTGGAGTTTGCACGTTCTCCCCGTGTCAGTGCGGGTTTCCTCCGGGTGCTCTGGTTTCTTCACACAGTCCAAAGATGTGCAGGCTAGGTGGATTGGCCATACTAAATTGCCCACAGTGTTCAGGAAGGTGTAAATTAGGTGGGTTATGAGGGATGAGTCTGGATGGGATGCTCTGACGGGTGGTGTGGACTTGTTGGACCAAAGGGCCTGTTTCCGCACTGTAGGGGTTCTATGATTCTAATTTATGCAATAACGTTTTCAGTAACATGTTACTGAATGCCTTCTGGAAATGTAAACACACATTAGTTCCCTTTTATCAACTTTGTTTGTTATATCTTCAAAGAATTCCAGCAAATTCGTCAAACATCATTACTGTTCACAAAACTAAGTTGATTATGTTTGATAGTGTTAAGCTTTGAAATGCTATGTTATTTCATCTTAATAGCGAACGTTAGCATTTTCCCAACAAAAGGTGTCAGGCTAATTGGGCTACAGCTTCCTGCTTTCTGTCTCCCTCCCTTCTTGAAGAGGGATGTCACTTTAGTGGTTTTCTAATATGCTGGAACCCTCCAAATTCACTGAGTTCGAGAAAATTTTGACCAATGCCTCCAGTATCAATTCAGCCATTTGCTCTAAATACCCTTAGGTGCAGGTCAAAAGGTCTTGGCAACTTGTCTATCCATAGTCCCATTAGTTTGTCAAATAATTTGTCTCTCGTTTATATTTTCCTTCACTGATATTGTTTACAAAACATTTGTAACGTCTTCCACCATGAAGACTGATGCAATATATGGTCTTAAATTATCTCCCTATTCCCTGTTCACCATTATTAATTCCATAATTGCATCCACCAAGGGTCCCATATTTACTTTAGGTATCATCTTTCTTTTCATATTTCCTTGAAAGTTCTTGCTGTCTGTTTCTATATTTCTAACCAGTTTACTTTTACAATCAATTTCCTCCCTCTTTGTTAGAACTGCTTAGCTGCTTAGTCATCTGCTGCTGGTTCCTGAAAGAGTCACATTCCTCTGTTGAATTCAATGTAGCATTTGGAAGTGAAAAGCATGAATCAGTGACAGATACTGTTCACTGTAAACTGGAAAGATCTGCTAATGGGTAAAACAACTGAAGAGTGGTAGAGGATGTTTAAACATATATTTAACACAATAAAAAGCAAATTCAAGACAAAACCAGTTTATGTAACTCATTTATTCAAAAAGGCAGACAGAACGCAGGAAAATACAGACTCACCACCGTCTGGGTGAAGTAATTTCTCCTCATCTCAGTCCTAAATGATTTACCATACATCCTTAGACTGTGACCCTGGTTCTGGACTCCTCCACCATTGGCAACATCCTTCCTGCAAGTGTCATGGCTAGTCCATGCTGGCTTTGTCCGATCCTGACATTGGTTAACCAAATGTTCAGCCATTTATTATAATAGACTAGCATTTTCTCCTCTAGCAATGTCAGGTTGACTCATCTGTTATTCCTCTCTACCGCCTTTTTTTAAATAGATGGGTTACATTAACTCCCCTCCAAGATGTAGGACCTATTCCGGGGCCTATAGGATCTTGGAAGATGACCATCAATACATCCACTGTTTCTAGTCCCACTTCTTTATGTACTCTGGAATGTAGATGATCAGGACCTTCAATTTTATTGGCCTTCAATACCATCAATGACCCCAATCCATTTCTCTACAAAACTGATTAACCAACAACGGTTAATACTTGTATTCTTTTTTGTGGACACTGAACTAACGTATGCATTTCACTGTTCAGCCATGTAAGGGGCCTAAATTTGTCTGCAATCTTTTTCTCTTCACATACCTGCAGAAACTTTTACAGTCAGTTTTTATGAACTCTGCAAGCTTATTCTTGTACTCTACTTTCCCTTTTTCAATCAATCAATCAATCAATCTGATTGTCCTCTTCTGCTGAATTCTAAACCGCTCCTCTCTGGTCTGTTCTTTTTTTCTGGACAATTTGTATGCCTCTTCCTTGGATCTAATACTCTTTCTAATTTCCCTTAGAAGCCATGGTTTGGCCACCTTTCCCATTTTACTCTTGCACTCGACAGGAATGGACAATACTTGTAGTTCTTCTGGGCACTCTTTGAATGTCTGTCATTGCCTTTCCACTGTCACCCCTTTGAGTAATGCTCCTCAAACTATCATAGCCAATTCATGCCTGATACCATTCTAGTTTCCTCTATTTAGGCTTAGAACCTTAGTCATAGAATTAATTGTGATATTCTCCACCTTGATGAGGAATTCTATCATATTATGGTCATTCAAACGCAAGGGGCCTTGCACAACTAGACTGCCAGCTTTCACGCCTTCCTA